GCTGCAGTGGCCAGGAGCGGCCACTGCACTCCAGTCTGGGTGACAGAGTGAGACTCCAACTCAAAGAAAATAAAAGAAAGAAAGAAAGAAAGGACATAGCCATATAATAATAGAGGGAGACTTAACATCCCACTCACAGCTTTAGACCAAACACTGAGGCAAAAACTAACAAAGAAATATGGAACTTAAACTCAACACTTGACCAATTATATCTAATGAACAACTACAGAACACTCTACCCAACAACCACAGAATATACATTCTTATCATCTGCACATGGAACATACTATAAAATCTGACATAAATCAAGCCTGAACAAATTCCAAAAACTCAAAATCATACCAAGCATCTTCTCAGATCAGAACTGAATAAAAGTAAATATCAACACCAACAAGAACCCTCAAAAATACACAAATACATGGAAATTAAACAACAAGCACCTGAATGATTTTTGGGTTAACACAGAAATTAAGACAGAAATAAGAAGATTCTCAGAAACAAATGAAAATAATGACACAATAGGCCAAAACCTCTAGGATGCCATTAAATCGATGCTGAGAAGGAAGTTTATAGAATTACTTGTACACATCAAGAAAATAGAAAGCACTAAGTAATCAACCTAATGTCATCCCTAAGATAACTGGAAAGACAACAACGATCCAATCCCAAAGCTAGCAGAAGAAAAGAAATAATATCAGAACAGAACTCAGTGAAATTAAGACCAAATAAAACATACAAATGATCAAGTTGAAAAGCTGGTTCTCTGGAAAGATAAGTAAGATTGACAGACCCCTGGACAGATTAACAAAAAAGAGAGAGAAAATTCTAACAAACATGATGAGAAATGAAAAAGCCAATGTTACAACCAATCCTAAAGAAATATAAAAGAATATTATAAACATTTGTACATGTGTAAGGTAGAAAAATCTAGAGGAAATGAATGAACTGGAAATACTCAACCTCCCAAGATTGAAAAAGGAAGAAACTGAAATAACAAGCGAAGAAATTGATGCAGCAGTAGGAAATCTTCCTAACAAAAATCCAGTGTCAGAGGAATTCTCAGCTAAATTCTACCAGATGTACAAGGAAGAGCTGGTACAAATCCCACTAAAAGTATTCCAAGTAACCAAGAAGGAAGTACTCCTCCCTAGTTCATTCTATAAAGCTAATATCATCCTGATACCCCAAAATGGCAAACAATCAACAAAGAAAGAAAACTACCATCTGATTTCCCTAATGAATGCAGACACAAAAATCAACAATAAAATACTAGCAAATCGCATCCAACAGCACATTACAAGGATCATTCATCATGACCAGGTGGGCTTCATTCCTAGGATGCAAGGCTGGTTCAACATATACAAATCAATAAATGTAATACAACACATATGCATGTGTAAAACCAGGAACCACATGTTTATCTCAATGGACATAGAGAAAGCATTTGATAAAACCCAATATCCCTTCTTTAAAAAAAAACAAAACTCTCAAACATCTAGGCATCAAAGGAATATTCCTCAAAATAATAAGAGCCATCTATGACAAGCCTGCAGTCAACATCATACTTAACAGGCAGAAGCTGGAAGCATTACCCCTAAGAACTGGAATAAGACTAGATGTCTACTCCTCACCCCTCTTATTTAAAACATAATACTGGAAGTCCTAGCCAGAGCAATCAAGAAATAAATTAGATGTATCCAAATAGGAAAAGAGGAAGTGAAATGATATCTCTTTGCAGATAATATATGATTCTATATCTATAAAACCCAAAATATTCCACCAAAAAATCCCTAGCACTGATAAATGACTGTAGTAAAGTCTTGCAATATAAATAATGCTCAAAAATCATTTGCATTTCTATACACCAACAACAAACAGGCTGAGAACCAAAAAAAATAAATAAATAAAATAAAAAAATCCCATTTACAATAGCCACCAAAAAATAAATAAATAAAATATCTTGAAATACATCTAACCAAAAAGGTGAAAGACCTTTACAATGAGAACTACAAAACACTGCTCAAAGAAATCAAAGATGACACAAACAAATGGAAAAACATTTCATGCTCATGGACTAGAAGAATCGATATTATCATAATGTCCATGCTACCCAAATCAATCTACAGAGTCAACAAAATCCCTATCAAACCACCAGCATCATTTTCAAAGACCTATGAAGACAATATTTGAAGTCACATGGAAACAAAAAGACCCCAAACAGTTAAAGCAACCCTCAGCAAAAAGAACAAAGCCAGTAGCATCACATACCCAGACTTTAAATTTTGCTACAAGGTTAACAATAACCCAAACAACATGGTATTGGTACAAAAATAGATACACAGACCAATAGAACAGGATAAAGAATTTGGCAATAAAACTACTGACCTACAACCAACTCATTTTTGACAAAGTCAACAAAAACAAAGGGGAAAGGGAAACCCTATTCAACAAATGATGCTGGGAAAACTGGCTGACCACATGCAGAAGAATGAAACTAGATTCCTACCTATCACCATGTACAAAAATCAACTCAAAAGGGATCAAGCACCTAAACATAAAACCTCAAACTATAAGGATCCTAGAAGAAAACAGGAAACACCCTTATGCACACTGGAGTAGGCAATGAATTCATGGCCAAGGCCTCAAAAGCAAATGCAGCAAAAGCTAAGATAGACAAATGGGACCTCCCCAAACTGAAAAAGCATCTGCACAGCAAAAGAAACCATCAAGTGAGTAAAAAGACAACTCACAGACTAGGAAAAAATATTTGCAAACTATGTATCTGATAAAGGTCTAATATTCAGAATCTATGAGGAACTCAAATGACAGGAAAAACAACAAATAACCCCATAAAAAGTGGGCAAATGAACAAATACTTCTCAAAAGAAGATATACAAGTGGCCAACAAACATATGAAAAAATGCTCAATATCACTAATCAGAAAAACACAAATCAAACATACAATGAGACACCATATCATACCAGTCAGAATGACTATTATTAAAAAGCCAAAGAACAATAGATGGTGGGGTAGATGCAAAGAAATAGGAACTTCCATACATTTCTGGTGGGATTGTAAGCTAACTCAACCCCAGTGGAAAGCAGCTTTGAGATGTCTCAAAAAACTAAAAATAAATTTGCCATTTGACCAAGCAATCCCACTTCTAGGTATATACCCAAAGAAGCATAAATCATTCTACCAAAAAGACATTTGCTACCATATGTTTATCCCAGCACTATTCATGATAGCAACAACATGGAACTAACCCAGGTGCCCATCAACAGTGGACTGGAAAAGAAAATGTGGTTCATATACATGATGGAATACTATGCAGCCATAAAAAAGAATGAAATAATAACATTTGCAGCAACATGGATGCAGCTGGAGGCCATCATGCTAGGCTAATTATCACAGAACCAGAAAACTAAGTACCATATGTTCTCATTCATAAGTGAATATTAAAAACTAGACACACAGGGGCACAAGGATGAGAACAACAGACACTGGGCACTGTTAAAGTGGGGAGGAAGAGAGGGAGATGCAAACCACCCATCGAGTACCATGCTCACCACTGGGGGTGGAGGGCAGGCTCATCAGAAGCCCAAACCTTGCCTTCATACAATATACCTACATAACAAATCTTCACACCCTGATTCTAAAATAAAATTTTTAAAAATTTTATAATATATTGCAAAATGGACAGAAAATGGAAACATTTTACTTCCCCTGAAAATTAGAAGAAGACAAGGCCGCCCACTCTCTTGTTCAACATTGTGTTGGAAGTCCCAGCTAGGGCAATTAGACAAGAGAAGGCAATCAAGGGTATCCAGATAGGAAAAGAGGAAGTCAAGTTATCCCTATCTGCTGAAGATATGATCCTATACCTCAAAAATCCAAGAGAATCTGTCAAAAACCTGCTTGCACTGATAATAGACTTTGGCAAGGTCTCAGGGTTTAAAATAAATGTGCAAAAAACAGTTGCTTTCTTATACACCAACAACAAGCAGGCAGAGAACCAAATAAAAAGCACAATGCCATTCACAATAGTAACAAAAAAATGAAATACCTCGGCATCTTACTAACCAGAGAAGTGAAAGACCTTTACAATGAAAACTACAAAACACTGTTCAAAGAAATCCACAAAGACACAAACAAATTGAAAAATATTCCATGCTCATGGATAGGAAGAATCAACATTGTTAAAATGTCCATCCTACCAAAGGCAATCTACAGATTCAACGCAATACCCATTAAATTACCAATATCATTCTTCTCAGATCTGGAAGTGACCATACAGAAATGCATATGGAAACATAAACGCCCACAGATAGCCAAAACAATCCTTAGCAAAAGAAACAAAGTAGGAAGTGTCACACTTCCAGACTTCAATTTTTACTATAAGGCTACAGTAATCAAAATAGTCTGGTATTGGTACAAGATCAGGCATATAGACCAATGGAACAGGATAGAGTCTGGAAGCAAAGCCTCAATTTCTCAACCAACTCATCTTTGACAAAGCCTCCAACAACAACCACTGGGAAGAGGAGAAATGGTGCTGGGATAACTGGCTGATCACGTGCAGAAGATTGAAATAGGATCCCTACCTATCACCACACAAAAATTAATTCTAAATGGATCAAAGACCTAAATGCAAAACCTCAAACTATAAGAATCTTAGAAAATGCAGGAGACACCCTTACGGAAATTGGAACTGGCAACCAATTCCTGATCAAAACTCTAAGTGCCCATACTGTAAGAAATAAGATAGACAAGTGGGACCTCATCAAACCGATGAACTTCTGCAAAGCAAAAGAAACCATCAAGAGAGCAGGGAGACAGCCCACAGAATGAAAAAAAATATTTGTCAACTGTATATCTGACAAAGGCCTAACATCCAGGATCTACAAGGAACTCAAACGCGCCAAAAAGAAAAAAAACAAACAGCTCCATTACAAAGTACATACTCTACTTTCAATATAATGCCCACTTACGTTCTCACCTCTCTTTTTAACTTTTCTCTTTTTCGTTCTAGTTGTTTCTGCAGTTCTTTCTGTTGAGGGGAAAGACAGTACGTTGAGGTCACTGGCAATATATTTGCTGACTGTGTCCTGTGATTAGATTTCCCATTCCCTTTACTTCGATCTGAGTTGGCAGCAGAGCTTGGACGAGTCTTAGAGTTGGGTGGTGGCTGAGGGATATACACTAATGGGTCTCCCCTTGGTGAGTGAGTGACAGCATGGATCTTTGCTGCAGAATCTTCTTTCTTGACAACATTGACAGATGAGTTGGAAGCTCTGGGTGACAACTGCTGAGGCTCATTCTCTGTACTATTTACATTATTAATGGGGGGCAAAAACCCCTGACTCTCAATGTCTTGTAAATTCAGAAGTTCAAACTTCCCATCCTTCTCTACCAGTATCTTCCTATCCTTGTTTTCTTCACAGCTTCCATCAGCAAGTGACAAAAGTACATTTTCTTGTCCAAATTCATTGGAAATACATAACTGTGACAGTTTTCCAGACATATTATTTTCATTTTCAAAATGATTTTTGTAAGCATCAGTGTCTTCTAGTGGAGGAACTTCCAGATCAACCAATTTGTCCTTGAACTTAAGTTTTCGCTCCCGTTTATCATTCATGGGTTCTTGATTCTGTAGAAGCTGGTTAGCTTGCATGATTTTCTCCATAATATATCTCCTTACTTCCTCATCCTCTTCCTCTTCCAAGTCCTTCTCACTTTTTAGTTTGGATTCCTGAAAAGAATTTTCACTATCTGAATCTGATATGGAATCCAAAGGTTGAATACTTGGTACAGAAATGAAGTCATTTCTTCTTGGTGAAACCTCGCCCTTCAAAGATTTGTTAGGATCAGGAAGTTGTTTAGTGTGTTCTATTTCTGTTTCGTTCTCTTTTAGTTCTTGGCTAATATTCTCTTCCTTTTCAGGAGCCATCTAAAAAGAAGATATTTTTCAGTCAAAGTTGAAACTCTTTGTTCATTTATATGTGACAAATACAAAATGAATTTTCCTATTCATGTAATATATTTTACGAATGGGAAAATTTAAGTGCTTCTTGCTCATACTTTGTTCAAAACATTCTAATTCATCTTTATAAGCATCCAAGAGTAATTCTTCTGACAATTCAGGGAAAATTCAACTCTAAATCTGAATTTGATGTTGCTAAGTGCTACACTGATGTTTTAAACAGTTGCTAGTACTGTTTTGAGGCTAATACATCAAAAGGTAGCTACAAATAGCACAATATTACTTTAATATTCTTCCTCCCTTAATATTTTCCTCCCTTTACATTTCCAGAAGAACAATTTTTAAAATGTTTTCTCTTTGTAAATTTGCATTCTCCACTAAAGCATCTTTCTCAGACCATGTCAAGGCCAAATTCTTCAGTTGAGTCCTAGTCACTTGAAGTTTTTTTAACCTTTTCAGATTATTATTGCCACTATCGTCTACAGTACCTATGTCCAAATTCCAGATTAATTTTTACCTCTAGATCAGATTTTCCTTCCTCAACCATCCTCAGAGATTACTAATCCATGCTAACCACCATCACACAACTTAGCCTTAAAATAAAAACAAAAATTAATTTCACATGAACTATAAACCAGTTTATCACAACCACAAAAACCTGCTCCAATTCTACTGTTTCTAACTAAAGGCTTCTTCCCTAGCATTTCTCTCACATACACTCCTCATCTACCAAATGCTTCACCACTGTAATATGCAATTTTTTCCTCCCTCCTGAAGCAATTATATGGGAGATACAATATGGTACTCTCTTCAAGTCCTTAAAATTATGTTCCTCTTTCACTTGCTCACAGGTCCTCTTTTCTGATAGTCTTCACTTCCTATCCTGCACAACATTTCCAGATGTCTGATAAGCAAATAAACCTAGCCCATTATAATGACCACCAAATAACTATGACAACTAAGATTTCTGCATCACAGTTAATATTTTTGGCCTTATTTGATTCTCTGGTTAATTTTTATAGTACCTCTTTCTGAATTCCCTTTTGGCTTTCATTTCTGTTCTTTTTAAAACCAACTTTTACAAAAAAAATTGTGCTATGACCCTCTAACCTGTCTCTAGCTCTGTCATTCCCTTCCTAACAGCTGCAAAAGAAGAATCAACGTAATCATCCACCAGAATGTGTAAGATTCACCAGAACATTTTTCTTTTTATCCCTGCTGAATCCCCAGTACTTAGAATAGCCTCTGACACATGGTATGTGATCATTAGTATTTATTCAATGAATTTTTAAATGAGACAATTTTCATCACCCCCTTTCTAATTCTATCACTCTATTCCCTGGATCTCACACCATTCCAGTTATGATAAATTGGTTCAACCTTACCACTCTTGGTATCTGCTTATACTCATTCTGATTCTTTTCCTGTTAAGATGTATAAAATTCCCATTTAAAAGCCACCTTAGAAAAATCTTCACTTTGACTCTATTGCCTTTTCAAATTTGTCTACCCTATTTGTCTTCTCCATTATATAAGAAAGCAAGATGGAATTAAGAGAAGTTTGTGATACAAAAGCTACATTTCCTCATATTCTTCTCCTTAACTCCCTTAAATCTAGCTTCTGCTATAACTACTCTGATCATTATCACTCTAAAGTCACCTATTCATATCCCAATCTTAGTCCTTTTCATCATTACTTTCCTACTTGACACTAACTTATGTATATGCAAATACACATACATACATACAATATGCATATGCATACACATATGAAACATTATATATAAATAGACATACACATTATAAATATGTAAAGAGAGAGAGAAAGACCTACCACAATTCAGGAATTGGTTCATTTTCCTGGATTTCCCTTTTCCATCTCTGATAAACAGTATATGATCATGTTTAATGAAAACTACTTTTTCCTAGAAATATTCCTATGGCTCATTCTTTGACCCTTTATTTTTTTCTCTATATTCATTCCCCAGAAAAGCTAATTTATCCTTAAAGTTTCAAATATTAGCTGAAAGATGTTTTTTGAGGATTTGATTTTTCATTTACATTAACAGCATTACCCCATCTTACCCAGGTTCACAAAAAGCAGAAATTAACTGTGTTTTTACTTTTGATGCAATAAATAATTTTATTACTTATTTATATAATTTAAATGATAATTTTATAATATTGATTTTAGTTTTATTAAGTGCTAATTAAATCCCTGTTCCCTCACTAGCCAGCTCTACTTATTAGGATAAACATTTATAAACACATTATGCCTCAAATTTCTCATCTCTAAGATGGGGAAAATGGTAATTGGCCAATGTGCATCAAACAAAGTTTGTGAGGTTTAGATGAGATAAAAAATGTGAAAAGCTTCAAGAATTGCAAAGCACTCTGTAATATAATTATTATGAATGTTGTTGGCAATTTATATATACCTTTATTATACTGGCATCACTTTTTTCATTTTCATTAATTAGCCACTCCAGGTCCTTTTCAAAGTCATCTTCATATTCTTCACTTTCTTTTGAATCAGTATCTTTATTTTCATTCATTTTCCGTTTGTGAAAGAATATTGCTATAAGATTTTAAAATATAAAGTTATATGTTATGTTCATTTTAGAGGTGGAATGGAATATGGATATTGATGTTGAAGGTAACCTAATTGACATATAGAAACACAAAATGGGATGTTCAAAATGAATATGCATCTGTAAATATCATAAGAGAGATGTACAACGGCATGATATTTCCATAGACAATCCTAGCAATCCTCCCACCTCCCCTCAATTCCCAAAACCCTAATCTACAAGGAGTCTAAAAAAGGTAGATAAGAAGACTGTCTAGGCCAGGCATGATAGCTCCTGCCTGTAATCCCAGCACTTTGAGAGGCTGAGGCAGGAGGATCAATACAACCCAGAAGTTCGAGACCATCCTGAGCAACATGGCAAGACCTCGTCTCTACAAAAAAAAAAAAAAATCAAAAAAAGTTAGCCAAGTGTGGTGGTGCAGCTACTAGTAGCTATAGTCCCAGCTATTTGGGAGAATGAGCCAGAAGGAATGCCAAAGCCCAGGAGGTCAAGACTGCAGTGAGTCATGATCATGCCACAGCACTCCAGCCTGGGTGATATAATGACACCCTAACTAAAAAATTAACAAAACAAAAACCTAGATAAGAAGAGAGTCTGATGCTTAGAAAAGGATTTTCCACATTCCCTATCAATCATTAAAACTCTCTGTCTGGGTCAGAGCAGATGGCTCAGTTTTTTAGTCTTGCCCACTCACTTTTCTTTTCATGTTCAAATAAAAAAAAAATCACATCAATTCCCATCCTCAGTTTCTCAATCCTTCTAGTAATGTATATGGCATAATTATAATATGATAACTTTTTAATAAGTAACAACTGATTCTCAATTATGGTAAATGTTGATTTCCATAGAAGTCAAACTTTTGTCAACCCTAAATAAGATACATTTTCTCATTAAAAAAAAACAAAACTGTGATACCTAATACGATCTAAAAGACAGTGATTAGTAAACAGAGTTGTCAAATGAAAGGTAAAAAAAAGTTTGTTCCTTTTCTGTTCCAGGTGGAATATATATGAGGGGAGACTCAGAAAAACCCAGAATTTATTAAAAATTGTTTATTTATTCTTACATTTAAACTTCAGTCACCTTTACAGTACTCTCCATTTGATGCAATACACCTATCAAGATGCTTTTCCCACTCCTCCAAACAATTTTTGAACTCATCAATTTTGATGCCTTTTAGTGCTCCTGCCATTTTTTGTTTCACTTCTTCCACAAGGGAAAAATGTTTCCCTTTGAGGACTATTTTCATATCCAGGAAAAAAAAAAAAAAAGTTGCTTGGGGAAGACTGAGTAAATCAAGAGTGTGGGTTACCGGGAAAAAGCCATTTTTTGTCAAAAACTGCTAAACACTCAGCAGTGTGGGCAGGTGTGCTCACAAATCACCCATCATGAAATGGACAAACATGTTGAAAGAATCTCCAAAAAAAATTAACTGAAGCCAAACAGTGCCTCTCACAACAACGTTAGCTGGTACATTGATGCTGATAGGCTCCTAGAACACTTACCTAGCAGGGGAAACATGTACTAGGAGGGGTCTGCCCTCCAAAAAATAATTCATGGTTTTTGGGGGTTTCCCCCATATATAAAAATATATTTGTTAAAATGGTGTATTAATTCAGTCACTTTTGAAAGAACTAAGCTAAAATTATATTTAAGTTGAGGTCAGTTCCTACCCCTTCTCATTTTTTTGTATGCATAACTTTTCAAACAAATTAAGCATACAAATCTTTACCTAAATGTGTCTACAAGAGCAAGCATACCATCTCATATATATAAAATAAAACATTTGTTAAATACTTACTGTATTCCTGTATATATTCATAATGATTTATAAAATAGACCTATCACCTTATCCCCTTGAAGTATGCTAGAGAAAACAAGCTAAATTTAAAAAAACAAATAAAAATGCAGTAATTGGAATAAAGACACATATAAAAGACTATGGAAGGAAGAATTAAAAAGCAGTTAACTAGTATAAAATTGAAAACACCAAGGAAAGCTGGGATGGGGTTTGGATACTGGTATGAGAGTTCATTAATTATTCCAGGTGATGAGAATAGTATGAGAAAGAACAAACATGGAAGCATAAGGGATTGTCCAGTATGGCCCAAACATAAAGTGTGTTTTTGAAGAGGAGTCTGAAAGGAGCAAAGGGGTCAGTTTGATGTCATATTACCTTTACAAAAAGAAAAGAATGGGGAAATTCTTAATGTAGAATTCTTAATGTAGAATTCTTAATGTGGAAATTCTAATTGCCATGAAATAGACAAAGGTAGAAATTTATAACAATAATCTGCATACTTTCCACTACTGACTTTAAAAGAACAATGCTTTCTAAATTTTCATAGAATTCTAGGTCCAATTTCAAAAGAAATGTAGAAAATCAGATTTTCAAGGCCCCAAACACTTAGTATCCTGTCTCCACACTTGCCTTCTCTTGCTACTGTATCACAAATAAGTCACCTAAAATTTTCTTTTGAAGTAAAAAGTACAGATGTCAAGAACATATGATATGTAGGCACATTTTTAAAGGTGTAAAATGAGAAAGATTATGCCTGAACTAACAAATAATTACAAACTTTGTTTTAGCCATTAATTTTGCTTTATTCTGTCCAAACCTTTGCCCAGATTGCCTAACCTGTCAATTTGACTAAAGTGAGATTTACATTTTTTCCTCCCACAGAGGATGAGGCTGGGCGCAGTGGCTTGTCTGTAATCCCAGCACTTTGGGAGGCTGAGGCAAAAGGATTGCCTGAGATCAGGAGTTCGAGACCAGCCTGGGCAACTTGGTGAGACCTCGTTTCTACAATAAATAAAAACAAAAAGAGCCAGGAGTGGTAGCGTGTGCCTGTAGTTCCTGCTACTTGGAATGCTGAGGCAGAAGGATCGCCTGAGCCCAGCAAGTCACGGCTGCGGTGGCTGTGAGCGTGCCACTGCACTCCAGCCTAGGCGACAGAGACTACAACTCAAAAAAATAAATAAATAAAAATTTTAAAATGAAGGCTTAAAAATGAAAATAAGATCTAATGCTAGGACTGTGGGTGAGATTTAGAGGCTATATGAAGTACTGTGTCCAGATTTTTGTCCAGATTTCTAAACTACAGTTTAGAAAACAAAAAACAAGCTAGAACACATTCAGAGGCCAGGAGAAAGGAGGATAAAAGTAAGGGAAAGGAACAGTATAATTCCTTCAAACCAGATTCTGAGGAATACTTGAAAACACTGGGAATGTTCACCTAAAAAAGAGAAAATTCAGAAGAGCCATGACAACTGCTTTGCAATATTCTGAAGGAGGAAGGACTTGTATTATTTCAAGGCATAAAACTAGTACTAAGGGCTGGAAATTCAGGAGCAAACTTTGGCACAATATAAGACAGAACTTACATTTTCAACTTGTCCTGAAGTAAAATTAGCTGCCCACAGAAGTGTTGTGTTCCCTGACAATGGAAATTTTTATACTTAGCCCAGAAGAGGAGTGTGGCATGAATGTTTGAAAGGACGTTGAAGCTTCAGGAAAGCAACTGTGCTAGAGGACCCTTAAGATTTTTTTTAACTCTAAGATTCTCTTATTTTATAGTATGCAAATTAGTAAGTAACTGCCAACTCATGAAGAGAGAATTTAAAAGTAAATGCAGAGTACTATAATAAAACTTAATCTAAAACAGATGACTAGTGTCTGAATTATAAAATTAAAGACAAAAAAATTCTGAAGTTTGTTTCATTAAATGTCATTAAAATATCATTTTTCCTGTGGCTAGTTCTTGATATTGGTTCCATTTTCATCTCAAGACAAAGTTAGTTTTAGGTACACATAACTGTTATTTAGCTGCATAATTATTATTATTTCTAAAGTATTAGTTGGACTATAATTCCTTCTAGATATTTATTTTAAACCAAAGAACTCAAAAGTAATCCTTCAATAATTTCTAACTCAGAGGTTGAGGGCAAAATTTTGAAACAATCAGAGGAAACCAAATCAATACTTCAGCGAGAGTTTCACTGCCGGGTTGCAAGACTGGCCAAATCATCTAAACTGTTACGTCTACCTACCTACCAATTAAAAATAAGGGTACCATGAATAATGTAGAATAAACTAAAACTTCTTGTAATCCAAAATACAGTAAAAATACTCTTTTTTCATAGTCACCATGCATTGGGATAATCAGCCTTCTTTTCAAGCCAGGGATCTTGAAATATATTATTTTAAGGCTTTTGTTACATAACTATTAGACGAATATTTACTTGGAACACTTCAGTGCTTTCCCTTATTTTGTAATAAACCATAGTTCTGAACTAAATAAATGGTTTCCTGAAAACTTTATTAGATATACTTTATTATTTATAGACAATCCTACCCATATGAAAACTCAAATCTAAAACTAAAACACAAAATCAGTATAATAAATTAAAAATACAATGATTACAAACTAAACATGTTAGGTGTTATTAACTCATTATGCCATAACTGAAAGAAAAAAATAGTTGAAGTAACTCTGAGAAGTAAATGAAGCTGCATCAAATCTCAAGTGTAATTCTTTCCCTATAACTTCAAAAAACCTCATGACTGGTTTTCAAATAAACAAAGAACATTCAATCATACTCTTGTTACCAAGTCATTAAGCCTTTTTCACATGCGTCAGAAGATATTCAACCCCTTTACTTCTTCTAATCTTCATCCCCAAGGTACTGTCCATATGGTCCAGAGTCAACAAGCTGGAACAAAAATACATCGGAAACGAACCAAATCCCTAACATTTATACTCATAAATCCTACTTTACGGGTGTGAATTTCACCCATTTAAATTTCAACATTTATCATCAGTAAAAATCTACGTAAGTGGCATAAACCAGATCTACCCTCTAATAGGAAACTGTACTAAGAGACAAATTAACTTCTTCCCACCCGACAGTCTGGTAAATCGCATGTGGGTAGGTGACTGCATATCTTTTAGAGCTAGTCTAAGCAAAGTCCATATGTATATATAATTTTGGTAACTTTCTTCCAGGATTCAGAGTATTCAAAAATACATTAATCTAATTAATTGACTCCAGTCTTACCTTACAGGCTTTTAAACATAAGATGAAGATCTAAGAACCGAAAGAACGTCAAAGAGAATGTCTTTTAATATAAAATAATTACTTAAGCAAAAACTAATCCATAACCTCAGGAGACCATCTGGCTCATTCTACCTATGGATCCTGCCAAGACTGTGATCCCATAAGTAAATTAAAAAAAAAAAAAAAAAAAAAAGCCTGTCACAAAGTAAGACGATAAATAATACTTTACAAACATTGGGTGATAGTTTTAATTTGCATCCAGGACCCCAAGTTACCATCAACTACACGAATACCACAGCGGCTTCGCGGAAGGTAACGTTTCAGGAGTGACTTTTCTCTCTCCCAGGGACACAAGGATTGCTTTCCACGTTCGAACTTTGAGAGGGCAAAGAATGTGACAAAAAATGCAGTCTACGGCATCCCCTGAAGGGCTTCCCCCGTACGCAGCGAGCAGGGCGCTGCCAGGCTCCCGCGCGCCCAGAGGATGCGGCGCCAACCAGGGGCTCCTCCGAGCCGGACCCGACGCGGACACTCGGACCCTCCCGCCCACCATGACTCTCTCCGCATCCTCCTTCCCTCCTCTTCCTCCACACCCCTCCTGCCTGCGGGAGATGCGGCGGCCGGGGTCACGGAGACAGCCGGGGGAGTTCTCCTCTCCTCCTCTTTCTAAGCTCTGACAGTGAGGCCAGGAGGACCCCGGCTCCGGCTCCCGCAGCGGCCAGGAACACACTGCCATAGCAACAGCGCGCCTCGGCGTCCTCCATCCGGGCCTCTCGTACTAGAGGGCGGGGCGGACCCGCGCAAGCGCACACGACGCCCTCGGACTCGGCCCCTCGCGGCTCCCCGTCCCGCGCCGCCAAGGTCTCGACTAGGTTGCGGTTTCCAAGGAGACGACCACGCGATCCACGCATCGCCCACTTGGTTCCGGACTGGAGAAGGATGGCCGTCTTCGTGGTGAAATTTCCCACGCGTAGCTGTCTCTCGCGAGATTTGGAATTTCTTAGGACAGCTTCTAAAAAGTATATTTCTGTATGTTTTGTTCGCCGCTAACGTCAGAGAATCGTTTGTTTTCGTTGGTTGATAAGCAAAATGCTAATTAATTTTCATAGTTTTGAGTCTCAGCTTTTTCTTTTCCAAATCAAAACCAAAACTTTACTCAAAAGAGTTGTCGAAGAAAATAGGATTTTTGCTCCTGCTTTCAAGCATGTCAAAATGGTCAACTAGAATTTTCTCAAATCCTCCTTAAACATCTTTATGTATAAAGAGAATATAAGATGAATTTTAGATTTCAGCGAGATGACAAGATTTTAGGAACTATCGATTCCCAGCCAAACATAAATAAGAACCAGGAGAAATGAAAATATTTCCTCAGTACAATCCAGAGTGTTCGGATTATTTTTTTAATTATTATTCAAATTTCAGTTACTTTTTATGATGGAGAGCACCTTTTTTCCAAAGGGGGGCAATATAATTTTAGGCAGTCTCCAATTATAGAACAAATCAAGTTTTTAAATGTTTAAGGTTTAAATGAATTGCAATATTGAGTGCACTTTCTAGCTATAGTGTCAAATTTGTAGAAGTAATTACCTAATATTTCTACTGTTTCAGGACTTGACCGTTAAAGGCTGAAGGAATTTTAGTCAAATCTCCTTTAATGAATGTAGAGTTACTTCCAAAGTTAGAAGTAGACTCTGCATTTTGTAACTCCTATGTTAGTATTTTTTCTTCTAATCACTTCCCCAAATTTGTAAATGTTGTTCAAATATTAATGGGATATAACAGCATAATTAATAATAGGCCAAAACTGGAAACAACCCAAATGCTCATCAAATAATGAATGGATAAATAAATGTGACATATCTTTATAATGAAATATTCTGCACTAAAAAGAAGTGAAGTACTGGAGGAGGATTCTAAAAAGATTGAGAAGTAGGAGTAGATAGAACTAGGAATATACCTCCCCACCTAGAAAACAATTCCACTGGCAGAATCTGTCTTGTGTTACTATTTTGGTATTCTAGAGTCTATTAAAGGCTTTCAACTTCCAGGGGATGGCTTGGACAGCAAATTGCAGTTATTATAATTTTGATTAATTTCAGCTCTTAGTACCATCCACCCATCAACCACCCTCAACCCCATAGCAGACAGTGTGTAGAAGTTGCATGAGCAGCTTGCACACAGCTTTTGACAGCCAGGGTGAGCAATAAAGACCCTGTCCTGCAAATATCAGGGATCTGCTTCTGATTGTTGATTGCTGCTTCTGATCAAGCAGATACAAATACAGAAATGGCAGCCATTGTTTATCAATGTTGTATGCTCCTTACCCTCCAGCTCAAGCAACTTTCAGGGATTTAAAGGGCCAGAACTTTTCCTTCCCACTTCATTTTTCTTGTTTTCGCCCATTTGGAAGCCAGACATTAAGGACTAGGGTATTTAAAGGCAACATATTTACAGGAAAAAGTAGAAAGTCACTGTGTATATCCAGGAAAAGGTGTAAACTCAGTAAAGACCTGAGAAGACCTTAAGTCTTAAAGATGCTCAAAAAACTAAAGAAAGATGTGAAAAAAGTCAAGAAAATGATGTATAAACAAAATGGAAATATTAATTTAATGGTAGAAACTTCAAAAGAAACAAAAGAAATCCTAGAATTGAAATATAAAATAATGAAAAATTTACTAGAGGGATTCTAAAGCAGATTTGGACAGATTTATTATCGAAGAAATAATCAGTGAACTTGAGTATAAAACTATTGAAATTATTGAGAAACAAAAAGAAAAAGAATCAAAGAAAAATGAACAGAGCCTAAGGGACCTGTGGAACACCATCTAGTGGACCAAAGTATGTAGAGTGTGAGTCCCTAAGGAGGAGAAAGAGAGAGAAAGGAGTAAAGAGAAAATTTGAAGAAATATTGTCTGAAATTTCCCCGATTTGGTAGAAGACATGAATATGAACATCCAAGAAACTCAATGGACTCTGAGGAGGATGAATTCAAAGAAACTCCCATGGAGATATATTATACTGACACTCAAAACACAAAGAAAACATCTTGAAAGCAGAAAGAGAGAAGTAATTCCTCACACACAAGGGATTGGCAAATAACCTCAGCAAAATACCCAATTTCAGCAGCATAAAATGGATTTCATGTCATGACCAAGAGGGACTTATTTATTCCTAGAGCCCAAGGATGTTTAACATACAAAAATAATCAATGTAATAATATGATGCATTAACAAAATGAAGAAGAAAATCCAAATGATTATCTCAACTGATGCAGAAAAAGCATTAGACAAAATTAAACACCCTTTCATGATTAAAAAAAAAGAAATAAAGCTAGGAGTAGAAGACTGCCTCGACATAATAAAAGCCATATATGAAAGATCCACAGCAAACATATGCAGTAGTGAAAGACTGAAAACTTTTCATCTAAGTTCAGATACAAGGCAAAGATGCCTTCTTTCACTACTTCTGTTAAACGTAGTACTGAAAGTTCTAGCCAGAGGCATTAAAATTAGAAAGGAAGAAGTAAAATTATTTCTATTTGCAAATGATATGATCTTACATGTAGAAAACCCTAAAGATTCCATTAAAAACCCTATTAGAATTAATAAATTAGTAAAATTGGGGGGGGAGAAAAACCACACAAAATCCTTTGCATTTCTATACATAAATGATGAATAATCTAAAAAGAAAATTAAGAAAACAAATTCATTTTTTATACAACAGTAAACAAAAATAAAACACTTAGGAATGAACTACGTAGGTGGAAAACTTGTACCATGTAAACTACAAAACACTGCTGAAAGAAATTAAAGAAAATGTAAATGAAAAGACATTCTGCTTATGGATTAAAGACAATATTTTCAAAAGGTTAATCCTACCCAAAGTGATGTGCATATTCAATGCAATATCTATCAAAATCTCAGAAATTCAGAAATAGAAAAATCTATCCTAAAATTTCTATGTAGTTTCAAGTTGCCAAAACCATCTTTTTAAAAAAAGTAACAAAATTGGAAAACTAACACTTCATGGTTTCAAAACTTACAGTAATTAAAACAGTATGGTACTGGCATAACGACAACTGTATGGACCAATAGAATACAAGAGAGAAGTCAGAAATAAACTTCTGCATATATGATCAAATGATTTTTGACAAGGGCTTTATAAAATACTATGAAGAAAGAACATCTTTCCAACAAACGGTTCTAGGAAAACTGGATGTCCACATACAAAAAATGAAGTTAGACCCTTACCTAACACCATACACAAAAATAAACTTGAAATGGATCAAATACCTCAATGTAAGAACTAAAACTGTAAAACTCTTAGAAGAAAGCAGAGTGAAAACTATCACATTGGATTTGGCAATGATTTATTGAATATGACACCAAAAGCACAGGTAAATTGGACTTTTATTCTAAATAATTTTGCATCAAAAGACAATATCAACAATAAGAACAAAGCCTATGAAATGGGAGAAAATATTTTCAAATCATATACCTAATAAGGAACTAATATTCATAAAAATAGAGGCCTTCTAAAACTCAAAAACTACAAAAAAAATAAAGCAACCCAACTCAAAAATGAAAATGGATGAAGTATTTGAATGGATATTTCTCCAAAGGTACATGAATGACCAAGAAGTTCATGAAATGATTCCCAATATCACTAATTATCAGGGATCTGTAAGTGAAAACCACAATGTAATATCACTTCATACACATTAGGATGGCTACTATATTTAAAAAAAAAAAAACAAACAGAAAATAACAAATGTTAGCATGAATATGAAGAAATTGGAACCCTTGTGCACTGTCAGTGAGACTGCAAAATGGTACAACTGCTATGGAAAATAATTTGGCAATTCCTAAAAAAAATTAAAAATAGAATTACCATATGATTCAGTAATTTCACGTCTTGATATATACCCAAAAGAATTGAAAGCAGGATCTTGAAGAGATGCTTGTATACTCATGTTTATAGCAGGATTATTCACAATAACTAAAACATAGAAGCAACCCAACTGTTCATTGAC